GGAATGATGGTCTGGGGGTGTTTGTCCTGGTATGGGATGAGACCCTTGGCCCCATTCATTGTAAGCTCAACTCCGATGCCTACTGCACTATTTTGGATGACAAAGTGCTTCCTACGTTGTGGCAGTTTTACGAGTTGGACCCCTGTTACTTTCAGGACGACAATGCCATTTTGTCATGTTTCGACTTTAACCAAGGCTTGGTATGGTGCCAATGGAGCTCATCGAAACTATGGATTGGCCTGACCAGAGTCCAGGCCTGAATCCTATCGAGAACCTCAGGCACGAGTTGCATCGCCGAATTCAGGGGTGCACTACCCGTGCAAAATTGGTGAAGGAACTTCTATGTGTTCTCTAAGCCGAGTGGAAGAAAATACCACTAGCTGTCATACAAAGACTTGTGGAAAGTATGCCCCGGAGGGTCCACGCTGTAATTACCTCTCGTGGAGCCTCTACCAACTATTGATTTTAAATAAAGTTAGTTTTTCTTTTCTATCACAGGTGTCCAAATAGTTATCGGTAGTCAGTGTATCTAAGATATTCCAAGAGCAATACCAGGTAAATCTTATAATCTTCCAATTATGGAGTATAGAAGGAATGTTCCAATGCCCTTTATTCGAGTAATATCTCAGAAATATCCACCGAATAATGTCTATATATTCTAGAAATATTCCTGAAGTTATAAACAGGATGTAAATATATTACCTTGTAAATATCTAAAAAACTTACTTGTTGTACAAGAAAACACCACAGCCCACATTTTACAATATATGTTTTTTTTTAAATCTATAAGAATATGTTGTTTTTTTATTTTATAAAACAGAATATTCCAATTAAATATACCCAGAACGTTTCAAGCACAGAGTGCATATCGGGGAAGGAACAATTTTGAATCTATGAAGATGATATTGTAGGCAGTCATGTCCGGTGGCAAGGCGGAATTCAGCGACCGCTCTACGCCTTGGGCCATTACACAAATTCTGGATAGCATTCTTCCAAGACTTATGAGAAACACGATGATAAAGATCTTCCTGATCACGTACTTTAAAGACCTTTAATAAGATCCCTAATAGTATGGAAAGGCAAAGGACGAGAAGTATTCTAAACGATTAAAGCACCCTTTTTTGACAAGAAGTCGGCTTTCTCGTTACCTGGAATCCCACAGTGGGCAGGAACACACTGGAGGACTATAGTTTTCTCAAGTGAAGCCAGGTTTTGTAGATAATGCCGACAATCCAATGTGTCTTTTGATATGAGATTTTTATCTGAAACAATAGCCAAAAGAGCAGCTCGGGAATCACTGAGCATAACAGCTCTTGTGAATTTTTCCAAGTGGCATGGTAGCTTATTTTACAGTACAGAGCTGTGTGAATCGCAGCAATTTCACCATCAAACGCAGAACCTCGGCCCACAGAGATGTAGAAAGAGAAAATTTCAGAGAAAACTCCGGCACCTGCATTAGAACCATCAGTAAAGATCCGAAGCCACTCTGGCTCAGGGTAAAAATGTTTAACACTTCGAAAGCTAGGGCTCTCAAAATAGAGGGATACGTATTACTTTTGGTTACTTTTTAACCCGGGTCAAGATTAATCCAAAAAGATTTCAAATTTATTGGATTTTGTAGTGGAACAAGCAATTCTAGTTTATTCATTAAACCAAGTGAATTTTTAACGGAAAATCTCTCTGTAGAAAGCCTGTTTGGGTCTTTAGATTTCTAGTTAGATCTTTATTGGCTTCATTCCAGAGTGAAAGACATCCGGGAACTCTAATGATCTTTCCCAGAGAATTATAAGGCCTTCTCTTGAATTACGGTTCTTAAAGGTTTATCACCAGTTAACATGGCGTCAATGTATACTTTGTCGTAGGCAGACTTGAGGTCAATAAAAACTGCGGTCAGGACCTGTCTATTATCCAGGGCGTCCTTGACACATTGACTCAGGAGGTCAACATGTTGGTTAGCAGATCTGGAGCTTCTAAACCCCGTCTGCTTCTTGGCAAGAAGTCCGCAAGTTTCTAAGTAATAATTAAGTCTTCTCACAATTATTTTATCCATAGCCTTCGCCTTAATACTAGTAAGCGATATTGGTCTATAGTTACGGAAACTATCCCGATCTTTGTTTTTCTTATTTAGGGGAATAATGATAGCAGTTCGCCATTCAGCTGGTACAATACCAGTGTTACAAATTACATTAAAAAATATCCAAACAGTCGCAAATGCTTTAGTACCAAGATAGTGGAGAAACTCAGAATGGATTCTATCTCCACCAGGTGATTTTCCACGAGGAAGGCTTCTTAAAGCGTAGGTCAATTCGTCTCGAGTAATGGGTACCTCAAAAACTGAATCAGTAGAAGATTCAAATTCAGATTTTGCTTAATTCTAGACGAATGTATTTTTGCGTAAGTGTTTTTATTATTAGCTCTACAGAAATGCTGTGCAAAAGCAGTATACCACTGGCAACTTTTCTAAATTTTAGTAAAAATATTTCTTTCTAAATTCTAAATTGCGAGTTCTATTTTTCAGAAGTAAAATTTATCTTTTATAAAAATTCTTGAAAGTGTTAAATTAAAGGTAGCACTTTTAAGGAGGGTAATTAAACGTCAAAGGAAACATTTCGGCCATGAACTGATATTTCAAGTAGAAATAACTTTTAGGAAAAGTATTCAATGAAAATGAGTTAAATTTGGTTACACTTTAGCCAAATTTATTTAAAGTGTAAAAAAAAAATTTTTTATTTACTTCCAATTTATTTATTAAAATACAAAATTATCACAAAGAAATACCTATAAAATTAATTAAATTCTCTGAATCCCTTATATTTAAATATTTTGATATTTTTCTTCACGTAAGAGAGAGAGAGCATTCTATGGTTACTCATAGCTCGTACTTTTAAGTTCACAAATCGTTGTACTACCTCGTTCGGCCTCAGGAAGAAAATAGTTTAACTTTTAAATCCATTTAATTTTCGAAGCTTTTACGTATGATTTTGTTATCTATAATTTCAAAATATGTATATATTATTGTCTAGTTTTTCTGTTTTCAAATTTTGTATAGCTATTTTACTGTCAGTCTTATTAACGAATTTTCTACGTCTTCTGGGAAGAATTAAAATAGAAAAATATATTAAGATATGGAACAATATCAGGATCAAAGCACTTTGTGAAAGAGTTCGTTTATAAAGATTTAGTTTTAAAAACGAGAAAAAAAATGCTTGAGAAATTTCAGAAATTCATTCATTTGTACAGATAGGTTGTGGATCGGGATGGGTAGCCTTTGATAAATTTTAGAATTAGAGTAAAGTAAGAAATAAGTTCTAAAGGATGAAAAATATTTTTATGTTTTTATGAATATCTTCTGGTTTCGATATACATACTGGTTGAAAGACAGAGACATAAACCTCTTTCTTTATTTAAACAATCCTCTTAGAAGAGAGAGAGAGAGAGATAACACTCTTTTTGTCCTTTTCCACAAATTTTAATCCATTTCTGTTTAATATTCATATTTGTTTACATCCATTTCATTTTACATTCGTTTCAATTTACAGATTAAATATTGAACTATTTTTACTTCCTTGTACTAAGTAAAGGAAGTATTGTTAATGCGAAAATTTTCGGGTATCGCATTTCAACGAAAATATCCATTTCTACCGCTCTCGATTCTATTTGAACGACGTTTTTGCGTTACATCTGTATGTACGGGCAGAATAAAAGACTCGTTTTCTCAAAAAGGATTGTGGAATTGATTTAAAATGGATTCAAGAGAGATTTTTGTTGTGACGTATGTACGTGCGTGCTTACGTACGTACGTATGTATGTATCTCGCATAACTCAAAAACGAGTGGCCTCAGAACGTTGAAATTTTGTAAATGGAACTGCTATAAAGTCAAGATGTGCACCTCCGTTTTTTGTTGCAATCGGTTGCACCAAATGTACATTAATATATCTATATATATATATATTTAATATATACCACTCTGTTACATGGCTCAGCGAGCTAGGTTTTTTATTCTTATATGTTCGTAAATTGCGCATTTTTTGCTTTAAAATGATTGAATTGTATCGTTCTTATATTCCGGTTAAGTTTTTTATGCCTTTAATTAACCTGTATGCAATAATTGTAGAATTTGTTTACATTTGAAACCTAGTAGCATAGTGAGTTAATTAAGTCAGTTTCTGCACCAGCTTCAGTGTCTTTTTGCGGAGTAGAGCCAAATGTTTTGTGCACCGAAAAATCTGTTTTTCTGCCTAATTTTAATTAATTTAAATTCTAGTTTTAATTGTAAAACGTTTTTTCGGTGTTTTAGGTTTTTCTGTATTTTACAATTTTTAATGAAACTATTTCGAGTTTTTATGCATTTTTTTCCTTGCTGCAAAGTGAGAACTGAATTGTATGAATGAGAAATATATCTCTAATGAAATTCGGGAAATAAAATTAAATGAAATGCAGCAAAAAAATGTGCGTAATTTAATAGACCTTACAAGGAAGTAATTTTGGTGTCCACATCGGATTTTTACATTGTAGAGTTCTGCTGTCTCAATGAGAGACTGCAAGTTGAGTTACCTGCACTGCAAATAGCCATGCATCTGTGGATATACTAGTGGTTGATGCAGAACCTAGTACAGCGATGGAAAATCTTTCAAGCTCGGCGTGTCGAAATTCTGAAACACCCTAGCTAAACTCTTGCGCCGTGTCACATATAAAGTGATCTGTCTGCCATCTTTGTCAGCCGTCTTCCAAGAACGTAGTCGAACGCATCCATGATAAGCGAAGCATATGTTGACAATGACAAGGCCATTTCAAGAGACAAATATTTTTGTATTATGCAATTTTTTTGTTTTCATCGACGGCTCCTAAAATGTGTGATGCGTGTCATCCGATTTGAGTTCGCGTGTCATAGATTCTCCATCACATTTCACCAAACATGTTGATTTAAATATTCACTTGGCTGAGGCGCAGTCTTTTAACTGTATTTTAGAATAATGAAGGATTTTCTTTAAATCAAAAAGACTTTTCATTATATGATAGTTTATTTAGTACATACTACAAAACACTGTACAATTTACTATTACAATATAGTATCAACAAATACATATAACGAATGCAACAAATATATTATCAACGAATGAAAAGCTTAATGTCCTTATTAGGAGTCATTGCTGCATCTATTATCCTGAAAACAAAAAGGTGCCTGAGAAATTTTTAAAGAGGAAGTAAAAACCGACCAGTAATTTCGATAAAGTAACTAAATATTTCATTGGTGAGAGGAAACATTACGTGATAGAGTAATCAGCAAAACATCACAAAATTCCACAATAATGGCAATGCAGTCATTGTAACATTTCATTTTTTAAATTTAGATTCAACTTTTTGTCAAAATGAGAAACAGAAAGAAGCATTTACATATAAAAAAGAAATCATTCAAAGTCACTCTTTTCGCATTAGCTACATATAAAATTTTCCAAGCAGTAGTTCCTTTCAAAGACATAGTTTCTCTTACTTACATGGCCACTGAAAATGCGCAATCAAACCCTTGCACGATATGAAAAGAACGATGGAGGAGTCAGCACACATAAACTAACTTGCTCCTAAAAGTTCAGGCAGAAACGTGTATCATTACTCAACAGGAAGTTCAATTTCTTGAGAGTCCGTCTTTTCCTTTTGACGAACAGTTATTGTTTATTTGCCTAAACGAAACATTCATCATCATTCAATCAAGAGAAACATCGAGAAGGACAATATCATTCCAAGGATCTGAAAAAAAAAGTGGAACAAAAAAGGTTATTGTTGGACGCAAATACGAAAAATATAAAATCAAATTTAGTGATTGGCAAAATTTGGATTTCATTTGATGTTAATTTCAATAAATACATGCTCGGTTTACTTCTGTGGACAACGGTACCAAATTTGTTTATTCATACCATTCTATATAAGCTTCCTGTGTAGGTCTAAACTGACATACTGCACAAACTGGCGTTAAATATCTGTTGCTGTAATACATCTAATCATTCGAGTTTAAGATATTTTGCTCTGAATTTAGGGCGGTTGAGTGGAGTAATTTGCCGTCTACAGTTTTTATTCCTCCAAATTTCTTTTATCCGTTATTTATTTATTTGTACCCAACAAAATTTACTTTCCAGTTATTAAAGTTCAGATTTAATGTATATTAAAACTCTTGTATCGATCAAATAACAAATGAAATAAGGTAACGTTCAATATTTCCGAGTAAATAACACCTAAACCAAACAATGTTTCATTCATGGCATATACCAGTGAAGATAAGTCTGTAGAGCCTTGTTCTTCTTAGGAGCATAAAATGTAGACCCTACTAAAGACGAAATAACGATTTCTCGCTATATATTGGAGGAGGGAAAAAATTAGATGACTGCCGACGAAGGTTATAACAACCTTTACATTTTAACTAAACTGAGCAGAATATTCTCTCACACAGTGCTCTCAATTTAAACATGATTTGTGTCTAAGTAACTTAGTACATACAATCAGAAGGAATTAAATTTTAACTACACGACTGGCTTCCACTTCAGTCTAAATCCGCTTTATCGGCTGCACGCACCAAACCCGAGTCTAGAATACCAATCTAAATTAATGTAAATGGCTAGCACCAAATATTCATCAGCAGAGCACACGCGGCATAACTCGTAACTAATTATTCTACTGAGAACTTTTAAATTTCGCTACTTAAATACTATTTCCGAACTCATTTAAATTTGCACATACGTCATTTAAATTTGTATTTTGGTAGGAATTTGATACCAGAAGGGAAAGAAAAGTTTCTTAAAATAAAAAATAATGGATTAGTACAAAATAAGCTCTTTACAAGTCTTAGCATAAATTGTGAAATGATTTAGTTTCGTATGTGATAAGGTACATATAGTTAAACATAAAGATACGAAGTGAAATAAATTATGAACTAATAACTTAGTGGGAAGTGGACTGAACAATCTTTGCAGCGCCAATAAATTGAAGAAATCTTAGGTGAAATAATATACATATCTGGGTGTAGACATATGCGTGATATGTGTCTATCTTCTTATCGATCTGTAAGCTAAATTAAAAAGTGAATCCTCTGTAAGCTAAATTTCCGAAGGCGGGTGCCCCTCTGCTAACTTTTCCACTTTGTAGCGCTTTCCATTCGCGCTGTGAATTGCTTTTAATTCATTTAACGTGAATTTTATAATAATCTAATTAGCTGTAACAGAACGTAAAAGCACTGCTTCAGCCATAAACTGTTTGAAGAAATTGATAGCTTTATATCATGTCTTGAAGTATATTACAAAGACTTGTCATCAGGCAAGATAAATATTGCCTACCGTACAATATTAACCGTTAAAACAAATATTAAGTAATATTACATAAAAGTAAATAATTATAATATTAAACAACTATTAATTAAAACAAATTATTGAGATTTATTAATTTTTTATCCGAATTCCTTCTAATGAATTTTATAATAAATAACAGGAAGTAAACCGGTACATAATTATGTTTTCATGTAAAGAAAAGCATTGATTAAGTTTTCTTTTACATTTATCGTATAACTGAAGTAGAAATGCAAGATACGCTCCACGCACGATGGCATTTTTTGCCTATCTTTCATGTACGTACCCTCTATTGATGATTTATTACTGGTACTATATTACAGTCCTATTCTCAGTCATATAAACAACCAATTCGTGGGGTTATTCGCGAGATTTCCACACTACAAAACTAGGAAACACTTTTTCTTTGTTGAGCAAAATTACTTTTTCGTTCTTCTAAATAATTTGGTATATGTTTTTATTTAAAATGGTTCACATACCAGAACGAAGGAGATTCCAATCCCTATTCCTCCCAAGACTCGTGCATGATGCAGAGTGAAATCTCTCATCTGCACGTAACAATCCTGGAAGTAAAAACATATTTTCCTTTAAAATTATATTCAAATGTAACATAAACTAAGGCTTCTTCAAACATGAATCAAAAAATGTTCACTATAAATGATAGTTTAATATCAGATGTTCTCATATACTTCAAGAACATCATCTGATGGAAAAACAGTCGATCATTATATTTTCCTTCTTAATTTCATTTTCTGGTTCCAATAATTTAATTATGATTCAGATCAAATTATGATTTTAATTTAATAGTGCAAAATTATGATTCTTTTCTTTTTTCTGTTATTTGTGTTTCCCAGACTTACTCGACTATAAGTATTAGCTTCGGGACTACTCTGACAAGCACTGACAGAAACGGCTTGTTTACAGCACGACTCAGGAACTTTCTTGTCTCCGGTGAAGTTTGGATTCCTGCTCCAGATCTTATAGCCCTGATCGGAGCCTATCGATAGACCGCAGCATTTAAACTGAAAATAAAAAAAAGAAAGTTTTATATCTTAAATTGTTATTAATAATGTGCAATTAAAAGAAAGCTCTTTTATTATATATTACGAAGATTGGAAATGGAATGCATGATCGTTCTGCCGTATAGGCTAGGCTGTGAGACTGTCAACGATTGGGCTGTAGCTTTATAGAACTAAGCAAAACACATAACAATTTGCACAAATTCGTTCTACGTCTTCATCATACATCATTCAGTTTTCGTAGTCTACTGTATTTCATGATAACACTTTCGCTAAAGTCTAAGCGGAAATGTAAAATCCACTTATTTACTATAAATAATGCCCTTAAGCTTATACAAATTCTCCTTAGTAGAGAATTATTGCTTCATATTCTAAATAAGAAATTTGAAACCTTTAACTCTTTCGCATCGAAGTCGCCCCAAACGCCCGAGCATTCAGACATCGGCTGGACGCCCCCAAACGCCTGAAAAATTTCCTACCTAGTGCTTTCCCCCATCACGTTACTGCATTGCTCATTGCTTCCAGGTGTTATTAAATGACATGTCAATCATTCTTTTGAAGCGACTAAAAGTAGTTCTGTTATTTTAATGTACGTTCTCTTTCCTTTATTTACTGTCAATGTTTAGCTTTTGATGCCCAAAGTTGCAATCCCGTCCCAAGGGCTTTACTTAAGTCCAAATAATATTTTTTAAGTTATTGTCATAGAAATATGAAACTTTGCATGCATGTATATTTTACTATAGTTATATCAAATATCTTTAAAAAAAATTTCTGGCTCATTGCAATTTAATTTTTTTTAAATTTTGTTTTAATTTTTAAAGTTTTTTCAAAATGCTCCATGAGATTTTAATTTTTTCTGTTTCTTGTTATTTTTGCTTTATTTTTATTGAAAATGCATCACAAACACGGCTTAGTATCAATTAGTGAATTGCATATAAAATGTTAGTTTTTAATTAATATTTCTTTCACATATACCTAAATTTTGGACAAAATTTCCCCCTTTAATACACTTTAAATGGACTTTTATCCCCTTAAAGAATTTGGATTCAAAAATGCATACTAAGTTTTGTTACATGTATAAATAGGAATCTAATTTACAAATTACAATCATTTTGAACGTAAACTAAAGCGCATGGAGCATTTTGAAAATGTAATAATCACGAAAATTTCATTATGAGAAAAATAAATTTTAAGGATATTTTTACGCTTATCTTTAATATTTAATTCTCAGTATGTCCTAATATATGTTTTTATTTAATATGATTTATTTTAACATTATTTCACGTATGCATAAATAATTTTTCTACTAGTAAAATCGTAGAATGGTAATAAATACTTAATATTATTTTAGAAATTTTCTCAAACACTTCAAAAAATTCAACTAAATACTTTTTTTTAAAACTAAGAATCACTTTAAAAACTTCCTGCAACATACGTTTCCTCTTTTTTATTTACATTTTCATTATGTTTAGCTACTTTACACATTTTGTTTTTTTGGCAATTCTTCTTTTCTTGTATCCAGACGAACATCTCTTTTTGCATTGGTCTATACGATGTGTATCTTGCCTTTGCCAAATAGATATTGAACATGAATTTATATCTTCCTGTTCCATACCTAAAGTATTTAAGCACTCAAAATTGAAGTTACTAATTGCTGTAACAGCTATTTCGGATTTGTTTTCGATACAAATGTTTCTGTGGGGCAGTTCTTTCAAATGACACTATGTAAACTCTCTTTAGTGTTATGGCCCACCAGCGGCCAAGCGGTAAAGTCGCTGAACACTGGTAGTTCGGTCCGAGGTTCAAATCCCGCGAACGGGCTGGCTGCATGAGCGTTTTCGTGGTTTTCCCCATGTGTAACGTGTATACGAGCCAGTTTCCCTTAGAAAGTCCTCCACGAAGGCATCCCTCCTCTTAGGCAGATAGCCCTCGAGGCTTTGCCATACTCACACACACACACACTTTTAGTGTTATGTGTTTCTCCAGATATGCATCTTCCTAAAAATTCATTACTGGCTAGTCTTTGATTTACTGGCAGTATTTTGGATAAACATCTATTGTTGATTTGTTAATTTTTTTTTTCATTTAATGAGATTTAGGTTTCTTATTTTTGACAATACTACTTGGGGGGGGGAACATAATATGACACCTATCAGGCATTTATAATGTCTGGGTGAGTCATCCGTGGAAGAACAGTGAAACAAACTTGCATAAATTGCAGTCTTCATATCTTACATATTTACATCTTATTAATAGTAAAAAGTATTAGTCGCGGAAATTAAAATAACGTTTCTCAAATGCTTGTTTACCTTTTTACTGACATTTAAATGTCCCAAAAAGGTAAATAAGCATATTCAAATTTTTATAACATCTTTAAAAATAATTTTACACGCAAGCGGGTTTTTGTAGACGATAGAGTTAAACCGTAGCATAATATCAAATGAAATTTTTATTTCCCAATTTTCGTCCACTGTCCCCTTAAGTAGGTTATTGTTAGCGCTCTAGTATTCAATTTGTCATAGGGAGAAGGAAAATAAACTATAACTGTATCTAGCCCTCATATGCCTTCTTAATAATTTGAAGAAGTGGAATATACTACAGCTTTCTCGGTAGCTGGGGGACCTTTATAAGACTGAAGAGAGCATCAGTTCAGTTGCTCATTTCAGCATCAGTTCGGAATATTGTGATATCATCGAGTGAGCTTCGCCCTTTTAATGCGCTTTGCATTGCGTTATGTTTAACGTTCTTAGCAGTTTGAAGTGCATTTACTAATTGTACTCTGTGATAGAATGAAGAGGTGTACGAATATTTTTGTGGAACGTTCCTGAACTGTGAATATTTTCTTTTGGTAAAATAATTTTTATCAAGCTAACATCGGTTCTGTGTGCATCCAATCTACTGCGAACGCCTACGCTCGCAGCAAGAGAATGAGGAACCAGATGCATAAGAATTGCTTCCGAAAATACGACGTGATGAAGGTAATATTAATCCTGGAAAGGAATCTGCAGTTAAAATTTATTGTAAAAAATTGCTGCGTAGATAATGCAGGAAAATTTGAACGAAATATTGCAGGAAGTTCGACAAAGAAATTAAGAAATTATTGCGACACTCGTATTTAAAGACCACATCTCTCTCTCCTTGTAATTTTTTAACTAAATCCCCAAAAATTACTAGGTAAATAAAAAGTTTATTTTCGGCTTTCTGCCTCACGCCCTTTGTTAAGGCATTCAGAGTAACAAGGCACTTTCCCATGTTGTTATGGGGCACTAAATGTAATGTCTAACAGTTAAATCTAATATTAAATCTAAAGTCTAAAAGTTAAATCTAATGTCTAACAGTTTAATTTATTATTAAATCTCTAACGGTTAAATCTTTGATTTTTATCTTTCCTTTATGTCTTTCTTCATCACTTAGCCCTTCAATCCAAAAACATTAGTCGATCTACTGAAAAGTGGTTACAACTCAACTTTCAACCCCTTAATTTCAATCCTACATTCTGTTTCATCGTTGTCTTTGTAATTTCTTTTCCAACTTTTTGTGAATTCTGTTCCTTTTACAAGCCATCAAGTCCTACGTTTAGCTCAAAAGTATACTGTCTCCAAGGGCTTGGTGAAATTTAAAGTTTGACTAAAATCTGTTAATCTAAAAACAAATTTAACGGAATTGAGTTGTCAGTGTCGAAGCCCATATGTTCATCAAAAATACGAGAAGATCTGCTGTGGTAAAGATTATTTCATTGGTTGTGGTGGCAAAAGTATATGTCACATGTTATGATAAACAGGAATATAGTGGCAACTTACCCCAGGACAAGATCCAGATCTATATTCTAGTTATAGGCTCTTAAATATTGCCCTAATAAAAATCCTTTACATATTTCTATTAAGATCACTTACGTATTGTTGAACTGCATCCCAAGCATCTGTAATGACTGTATCATTCATGTACAAGGGAACGGTTGTGATCATCTCCCGTTTCATTTTTTCCCCTACCTATGCATAATATATAATCATCAGAAATGCATAGTGAAAGTTATAATACTTTTAATAATAGCACCAATATGACAAGAAGAAATTTTTTCTTTTTAATTAAATTTTTTTATTAAATCCGTTTTTCTTTCTAATTTCTTCTTTTTAATTACATTTGAAAAATAGTAGTGAAAAGTAAATTAACAGAAGACAATTATTAAATAATTAAATATATTTTATTATTATCACTATTATATTTTAATTTATTATTTAAATATATTATATATTTACTAGAAAGCCCGGCGGTCATACGAAATAATCGCTGTTCTAGATATTATAAATTGTAATTAAATTGATTTGTGCAAAGGTGTCAACTAATTTAAACTGAATTACCCAGGGTAGGCGGCAAGGAAGCTCCTTTGCTTACTGCCCCACGGGGTTTCCCCCTTCTACTTGCTTAATTGCTTAAAGTAGAGTGGAATGAAGGAAACCACTGGCGGCACATTTCTTAAGAGCCACCGCTAGCTCAATAAATAAAGGTGATTTACATAATAAAATGTTAATTCACATGTCAAAGATCTCTTTGTACACAACATTTCTTGTGTAGATCTTTACATCATTTTTAAGATCGCCTTGCAGAGGACCATCCATTTTTTTCTTAAATTTTTACGTCCGTTCTTTCACGAACTCTTGAACAGGCAACATAAAATTGCAAATGCAGGCTCAGGTAAAAAACTGCCAACACGCTTAAGCGTTTGGCCCTGAGACTTATTGATGATCATAGCAAAGACAATTTTACAGGAAATTGTCTACGTCTTAATTGAAACGGCAACCCTGTGCCGTGGCAACTTCATCCCATTGGCTAGTACATTTATGCAAGCAACCAATAAACTATCGGCGACAAACAGACACTTAAGTTGCATATACGAGTATTTATGGGGTGAAGTAACGTTATCTCCTCCGACACGGCTGGCTCCCGGGCTTAGCGAAGCAAACCGTTGGATTCCTCAGGTCTGTGGCACGCTATTTTGACCATTCGCGTCTTCTTGGGACTTTAATTACTCCAGATATTAATTTAAAAAATTTTCCCTACATATTCCATTACATTTCTACTAACTTTCCCCATACATCCCGCTTCATTCCGCTTTCTTTCTTGGGTTTTCCCTATGAGAGGGATTTAGCTACGTGCCATTTTTTTTCTCGAATACCTACGGAACGGCGGAGAGTTGAAATTCGAGACGCATATCCTTGGATTTCAAAAAATTCTCCGAATCCATCGATACCGTTCTCATCTTCGTACGACTTCGGCCGAGATATTAATTAAAAACTTCGGAAACGTTAATTTCCGCACTAATTTTTCAGAGTGGCAACAATAAACTATCGGCGACACACACTTTAGCCGTTTATATATATAAAAAGAAGATAAATATATTTAATTATTATATTATTTAATTATATTACTGTTACTGTTATTACTATCATATACTTAAATATATTTAATTATTTAATAAATATGTTTTGTTAATCTTATTTTTCACTACCATTTTTCCTAGCATTAACTCCCGATTTGTTGGGATTAAAAAGATTTGTTTTGTAAGTCTACGTATGTGAAAGCCTATTTAAAAATTATAATAGATTAGTACAGTAATAAAATACATAATATGTAACTTCATTTCAAATGTTAATTGTTACATACACTTATTTGATTTCCGCAGTAACCTTAAGGAAAGGTATAGTACTCTTACCTTATATCTGAAAACATAGCCTAATATACCACCGATGAGCATGGTGATGAAGATCACCATTAAAATCAGGAAATACTGAAAGAAAAAATTCTCGGAATTATAATCCTCTCTAAAATTAATTTATGTAATAAATGTGACCTTGATTAGAAAGAGTGTTTTCCTTAATGATATATTTAAATTGCACTAATGTTTGTATTTATATGTATATTTCTTTTTCTACATCACTATCAGGCCATTTGTATAATTAATTAGCAAATAAAAGAAATTCAAATATCTTACTCAATTGGACAGCGTAGACATAAACTGCTGTAAACTAAATTCGAATAAAAATGGATAGTTCTTACATCGCCAAAGATGTCTTCTTCAAGAGGTTGGTGTCTGGAGAAATCCAAAAGAAAGTTCAGTTCTCAAATAAATTGAACACCAGTTTGCCCACCCCAATAAGCCAAAAAATAAAAAATACTATGCTTAAATTATTAAATTTAAGTCTTGTTTGGGAAGTTAAAATACAGTTATTAAAGTCTTGTTTTCGTCACATATATTTGTGACGAAAATTCTTTCTTGTGACGACGTGGAACATAATGATGAAACTAATACAAAACGATGTAGCTGCAGCCAGTTCGGTTAATATAGTTTTAATTTTTGCCATAGCGTTCTTGAATACACTGCTAAAATTTGCATAAGACAAACATCCATTTTTCAATAATTATGTTTTTGTCATATTTGTTGCGACATAATTAGAATTGGAAGAAAAGCTGCAGACAACATTTCAGCAGCACAAAAAAGCGTACGAAGAATATAAATATCACAATACTAGATTAAAAATTGAAAAATCACGGTTGCTTTTTATTTCTATTGGTTGATTAAATGCTCTTATTTACAAACTTAACATTATTACTTAAATCGTACAGAAATGATTAACACAACGGCTCTTAAAACGAAACTATTGCACTATGCGAAAGAAAAACAAGTGAAATAGACACAAGGGGGCGTCATTTCTCAGAATGCATAGATGGAGCTTGCCGCAAGCGAACAGTATAAGCCAGCGCCCGTCCCTTTCGCCGTCGTCATTGAGAGCGTGGGCAGCAGTGATGGAAGATGATTATCACTGTCAGCGCTGGACCGCGTGGTTCATATGGAAGGAACGAATACAGTGTAGTAAGTAGTGTAGTAAGATCCATAGTCGCATGGTGGCGGTGTGTGGGAACAAAGCTTTCTCAAGGCGTATCGTATCCCGTTGGTTGGCCACGTTCAGCAGTGGAGTGGAGACCGCAGCCAAAGGCGTCAGCGCGGGACGACCAGCAGCATAGCATACAGCTTGAAGTCTGCAGCCGTGTCGGATTTGATCATGACGAACAGGCGCATAACGTTCAACAAGATGGAGGAAGAGACAGGGCTTGCGCAAGGAACATTGCAGGCGATGTGCATGGTGATAGGCGATGACAAATGTGTGTGCAAAGTGGGTGGACCTCGAAACAAGACTTCCGACTACGCCTTGCTTGACAACATGAAGAACGCAATCAGGGGCCAACACGTTCAATTTTTTTTGCCTAACTACATGCAATTGTCCATAGGTGGTGCACCAACACCCACACAGACTGGTTTACCAAAGCCCTTCGGGACCTCCTCCTAGCCAGATGGCAGAATTGTATTGACATGGGTGGGGATTATTTCTAACTGATATACTATCAGTTTTCTGTTAATAAATTATATTCCGCTGTATGGCTGCATTTGTGTCATTCATTTCTGTACGACCTAAATATTAACTAAAATACATTGGTTTCTCTTTTGCCATATAAGTATGCGCGTCCTGAGCTTTATATAAGAATCATATGGCGCATGGCTTCGTTTTGAAATGATACAGTTATAAATATTCTTTAAATAACTTATTCTTTTAAAAACATTAGGCTTTCAAGCAGGAGACATGAAAAATGGACAATGCCCTCACCAGGTCTCGAACTTGGACCTCTCGAATACGCTCCGAGTGTGCTACTGTTATACCACGAAGGCATGCTGGAAGGAGTCCCTTTTAAAGGGTGATCTACTGAGGTTTAGCGGACCCAATTGCGAGATCCTGGTGATGACGAATTATTATCCACCACCTTTTAGTTCTGTAGAAAACATTAGTTGTTTTGATGCTGGAGAAGTGAAAAATAAGCAATGGCACTCGCCTGGACCTCTCGAATACGCGACGAGTGTGCTACCGTTACATCAGGAAGGCATGCTGGAAGGAGGCAGAAAATACATTGTACAGTTAAAGAATATTTATTAAGAGCAATACGTTTTACTACTACTTTAAATATTAATTTTAACTGAAAAGTAGACTTTAAGGGCTACTGCCAATTAAAATCAGAAATTTGTCTTCGATTTTTATGCCTATTCTAAATCTTATTATTTTCCTTTTTATTTTTCATTTTTTCTTTAAGCCAAATTTTAATTTTTTTTATTTACTATTTAAAAAGTATTTGCAAGCTGTTGAAGGCAACAGCATTAAATAAAAAATACGTTGTAGCTTAATCGTGGAATAACAAACTTTCGGTTAACGTTGATTGACTAGCGAAGAAATTATATCAGTTCGCCCAAGAGCTTCGTAACAATTAAAATTGGGATATAAAAGTTGCATTTTATTAAAGTTACATTACATTAAATAAGTCTTTGACGGCGAAACGGCCACATCGAAACGACCACGGCTAATAGTCCCATTCCCTACCACGCGTAGTTTCAGACAGGATAAAATCAAACGAGGAACTAACTGCTTTGGCGCTGTTATCAATCACATTGCTAACAGAATGGTAATAGTACCTAGGGAGAAAATGAAGCAAAGAACACACTTACTGTTGCAAGCATCCATTTAATTCTTTTGATAGCTCCATAGCACCCTAGGAACGAGATGATGCAAACCGTGATTCCTGTCACTATCAAAATGGACGCTGAGCTTAAGTATAATTTCGTTCCCAGTAATCTTTCCATGAAATAGTGACGTACCAATGTCCATGCTCCCACCGTAAATACTGCAATACCGCATATCTAGAAAGGGCAGAAAATGAAAAATACATTTGTCATTTTTGCTCGATTTTCGTACCCTCGAAAGCTACAATTCTCGTGGATTTTGTATTACAGTGTATTCATATATCTGTATTACTCAAAATAAAAATCTGATGTTGACACCACATGACTTCCTTTTATAGCTTATTAAATTATACAGATTTTTTGCTGCATTTCATTTAAACTCATTTCTTCAAATTTCATTAGAGATATATTTCTCATCCAATTAGTTCAGTTTTCACTCCGCGGCAAAGCAAAAATACATAAAAGTTCAAAACATCTCTATTAAAAATAGGAAAACACAGAAAAACATCAAACATCAAATACAGCAGATAAAAAAAACAATTTTTACAGTTAAAATTAGAATTGTTTTCTTATTGTAAAATACAGAAAAGCATAAAATACCAAATACAGTTAAAACAGTTAAACAAAAAATTTTTGCAATTAAAATCAGAATTTTTTTAACGCAAAAGCAAGCAATTCAACAAGCGAGCAAGAAGGTAGATTATTCGGATCACAGAACTGAAAGTTTACTTTCGGTCCCTCTCGGCAAAAAGACACCGAATGTGTAGGAACTGACTGAATTCACTATTCTACTGAGTCCCAAATGTAAACAAATGGCGGTTCGTTAGGCTTAACTCGCCACTTAAACTTTTAAATTGTTGATAATTCTTCAAAGTGATAGTTGTTATATTAATAACTATTGCATGCATATTAACTAAAGACCTTAACCAGAGCATAAAAAACACATAATTCAATGAGTTTTAAAGCAAAAAATTGCGCAATTTACGAATATATAAGAATAAAAATGCTAAGCTCACCGAGCCAGGTAACAGACTAGAAATATATATATATATAAGATTGGTGCAGCCGATTGCAACGAAAAAAGGAGGTGCAAAACTACATGTTATAGCAGTCCCATACGCAGAATTTCAACGTTCTACGGCTACTCGGTTGAATGGATATTTTTGTTGAAATATGATACTTGAAACTTTTCGCAAACGCATAAAACTTAATAATACTATAGTTTATGTGCATGAGTATTTATATAAATAAGGAAGTAAAAATACTTTGAGCTCTTCAACCATAATCTGCACCGTATAGAAGCTTCTACATTTGAAGAACTAATTCCCTTCTTCAATAAAGGAAAAGTATTGTGACTCAAGACGAAGCTGTGCATTTTTAACTTGGATGGCTTCACTTTTTGACACATTTTGGGCTATTGTCAATTTGATATTTTCTTATAGATTTCTTGCGAGGTGTTTTTATTTAAGGAACTGAAATCTTTCATGTTTCTGTTTTTAATAGCTTTAACATCTTTCAGGCGATTTTTTTCGCAAAGCTTAATTTTGTCATTTCTTGTATTTAAGCTTACTGTTTTTCTACTCAGTACACAAACTGTGGGTTCATTATGAAATATACTTTATCCAAAATGCGTTAATATTTCAAATATTTATAAAAATAAAACAAATAAGTGAAAGGGAATATTTTCAGGGATAGGTTGCAAGAGAAAGTTGAGTTCAAGTGTTGATCAACGAAGCTTTCTAACATTAAAGTTCAGAGAAAAAACTGAAAATAATTTGTTCAATACAATTATCAGCAGAATAACAAATTCTGATATCGTTTACACTGGAATTCTAACTGTGAACTTTATTGAAAAATGATATAACGATAAAAAAATTAAATAAATATTTTCTTTCCGACGACACAATGTTGACTTTGAAAACTTCAGATAACATTTAGCACCTAAAAGAAGACTTTACCATTGCATAAAATTATATTACAGATTTAAATAATGTAAAATATAATAAAAGTTTTCAGAACAAATGATTCTGTACCAGCTTTTGTGACTTATGCACTTGGTTTAACATTATACACATGGTTTAACATAACGTTAGAAACGATTTTTATTGACTATAACATAACTGAACCTCTTCATAAAAATTATGGGTTGGATGTATGTTAAACTAAATGCATTTTTATTTATATCAACTTTATTAAAAATAAAAACAAAGATTTAGATGATTAAGCAGCTTTTTTACTATTTTTAATCACTTATTTTGCTAATCAATAACAAAATAGCAGAATTAAATTCGTAAAGTTTATCTTATGTTTCTAGAAATGGCAGCATTTTAAACATCAACTATGCTAGAAGGCACATGGGAAAAAACTAACATTTTATATTTCACAAAGTGGCAACAGTTTCTAAGTACACTTTCTCTATTCTTTCTGTTGTCGATATAGTCAGTTTCAGAGACGTGATCCTGTCTGCGGATTTATTTTGCGAGGACAGAAAATTATGTATTCAGTGAAACTAATACACCCTTTTCGAAATGAGAGGGGAACTTCAGATTTCGCCTCTCACCTTGTGTGCATTTTTTAATTACCCTTCGTTGCACATATTTAGTCGATTCCTATAACTTGTATGAGTTTGTATAATGGAAGTCTGTAACTTGTTTCTATAACTTGTATGATTTGAGCATGTGTTTCCGGACCTTCCTGTGCGCATTTGAGGCTAATTAATAGAGTATTGCAATAGAAACTAGTTCTAAAAATAAGGAGACCGGTTAAGCAAAATTATAATGTAAAAGGTATCTTGAAATAAAGGAAGGTAGTATATTTGTTGAAACATTTTCAGCTTTTGTTCCTCGTAGATTTTTTTATTAATTATGATACTATAATATGGAATTTAGAAATTCCTTTGATTTATATTACAAAACCATACATATGTAAAGTCTAACAAATTTTGTTGAAATAAAATTCATTAACCATGTACTGATATTAAAATCTCAAATTTGCCATCAGTAGCTGCCAATGAAGCCAAATATGTGAGCCGAAAGAAATTCAAGTAAGGGAATGGATGCCTTGTTTTAATTGAGAGATATTATGTTATTTTCCATTTTCCGTCTAGTTACAGTTTTGAAATGCAGTCTATGGCCAAATAAGAATAGGAACTGTCTCGAGTGTTCCTTAAGCTTCTTCCTCGAATATATAACACAATTTTTTTTCATAAATATCTTTGACAGATTCCGGTCAGAAATATTCTAAATTCTCCATTCTTACGTCGAGCTTTACTTGGTATTTTATTCTGTACCACTTATATATCCAGCCTGTAGTTCCATCTATAAATCTAGTAAGATAATTGTAATCCCTAAGTCATAAAATTAAGATGCGACATATTTATTCAAGAAAAAAACATCTGCGTTAAAAATCACAGGTTTGAAGAAAACTTCTGGGCAATGCATATGAGATACAAGAGGTTACAAAAGTCCTGTAAAAATTAATTAAAGTTTCTTCCAGATCACGCAAGGCCATTTTGATTCGCTATTATACGTCATATGTCACATATTATAGCCATGAGAGTATCGACAAATGCTGAGCAAACACCATATTATATTGCTACGAAATGTCCAGGCGCGGTAAGATAGCTTCCCCGCAAAGCAGGTTTAGGGTCTCGATAAAATGGCAAGGTACGGCAGGGTTGCCACATTTGGCGAGAAATCATCCATTTGGCAAAAACATTGGCGATATGCCATGGACGGAAACGAATTCTTACCGGTTTAGCCCAGAATGTTCTCGAACACAAGCCAAAAACTATATAAACCCTACTGGTCTGCAGTAGTGTGTGCGTGCCTTGTCGAGAGGGCGCGTAGAGAGTGTCTCGTCTAGAGTGCGAGATAGTTAGTCTCGAGTAAGTCAATCCGTGCGGAGTCGATCGAGTTAACAGCCGTGCAGCGAGTGCCGAGTGGGTCTTCGAGTGCATCGAAGAGTCTCTTAGTGTTCCGCGGTTAGCACATCGTCGAGAGAGGTGGTCTCGCATACAGTCATGTCCAATCAGACATCTAAATAGAGCTACCGCTGTTTGTTTCGGAAAACTAGGAATAAAAAGTCTCTTTCCCCATAATCCTCCATATCTTATCCATAGCACGTTGAATCATATCCTGTTGAAGAATTTCTTATGAGTAAGGTTAAACAATTCAGTCGTATGAAAAGAAAGCGGTCGATTAATGTGTTGCATTATCAAAGTTCCTTTCTTAGCCAATGTATCAGCTTTTTCGTTGCCCACAATTCCAGTGGAATCCACTGAAAAGAAATTCTATGTGCCATTGCCTCAATCAAAGGTCTACAGTCTAAGATTCTTTGAGAACTATTTTGATTACTCATAAGGCCTTGAAGTGCACTTTTGGAATCTGACATTATGACTGCATTTACAAAAGAGAGGCTATGAATCGACAGTTGTTGAATTGCCACAGAAGTGGCTATTAACCATTAAAGGCAGTAGTAAAAGGGTCCATTGTTAAGTGAAACTAAAAAGCTCGCTATGGATACTTGCTCCAGCACCGCACGCTCTTTCTAACATACAGCCGTCAATATTGACACGCAACCACTAATTTTGAGGATAACGAACCCAAATAGTTTCCATTTTAATCGTATTTATGGAAATTATTATTTTAGTACTGCATTTAATATTCAGTTATTGATTTTCTTTAATTGTAAGTATGCTTCCTGTCCAGGGATTGAACTTCCCGGGAGGTACATGAAGAAGGAGGCAGTGTTACGAATTTTATATAAATGTATATATTTTTAGCGAAAGTATATGCAGCTTGTAGTATCTCTTATATAATATAACGGAAAAACCTAAGGATGCGAAGCGTCGCCGGAAAAACACCAAAGTCCATTTAACAATGAGGAGAACTGGTATTTCGCCGATTAGTGCCATGGCGACCATTTAGAGATATTTTTGTTCGATCCCTGTGTAACTGTAACTGGTCTGATCACTATGTCAAAACATCAGTTTTCAGTTTCATTCAGAGATTAGCTCAGAGTATTGAAAGTCCAGTGTGCCATTTGAGGCTTTTTATATTGCCTTGAGTTCAACGTTCTTAGTAGTTTGAAGTGGTAACTACTGATTGTGCTCTGTCATACTTAGAAGAGCTGCACGAGTATTTTTGTGTGAAAACTTCCAGAACTTTAAAGTGCTTTTATTGTTTTTGAAAAATGAATTTCATCAAGCTATCATCGGTTTCGTGTTACGAATCCGTATTAATACTTTATATTATTACAACAAATAACGAATTGTAAAATATATTCATACTCTAATGATAAATTTCACTATATTTTATTTTCTAAAGTAGCTTACGCATTGCTCGCTAGAGCCGTATTATCTAACTCTACAATGTGAAGTGCTATAGTAATTTTAGAGGCTAGAATGTTAAAGAACGCAACACGCATATGTAGAAACTTCGACTTCTCAAAATTACTAGGAAGGCATATGAGGGTCGGATACGGATACATTTACATCTAAAATCAATTACAGATATTCAGTTACAATACCCAATACAGTTAGTTATCAGACCAAAATGTCGCCAAATAGCCAAACTTTTGGTGATTTTTCACCAAATTTGGTGACAAAAATTAGTCGCCAAAACCGTCGCCAGCATCGCGACATCTCGCCCCTATATTCTTACTTTTCTGGCAAAGCTTCGTCCTTTTGCAAGCCTTAAAATACTTTCGCAATAATCATACTAGAAGCCATTTTAATGAGACGAAAATACTTTAAAAGGAGGGTAGATGCTTTTTCAGTAAAGCAAAATCAACTATTAAACTCTGGTATAAGTTTTGTGATGCGGGTACGGGATGAAGAAGATTCATGTTATAGTACATAGAAGAGAGTTCACAATGCTAAAAATAGTGTCGCTCTTGTTACATAGCTACGAAAAGAAAAAAAAAAGTCACTTTGGCATTTTCTAACCATTCGGATCATCAGTTCTTCTTTTTCATTGAAAATACTTGCTTTGAAATTTTAATAGAAATCCATCTGTTTTCGTCATTGGCCTACTATTTAGAAACAAAATATGAACTCTTACCTCGAAATATTATATTTCTAAGCAAGAATTATTTATGTAATATTGTGGCAGTCAGGGACAGGAATGACTAAGCTTGGCATTAGAATTTTTGTGGCTGAGTGTAAGTTAAGGCATTCAGTGACGACAAAGAAGAATAACTTTATAGCTCCATATCTTTATTCAGTGCAAATGACAGATCATTAGTCTTTTAGATTACATTCTCCAAAATTACATTCCAATAACGATTTAAACCAAATAAGATTACTTTAAATTTACCGCGTCATACTAGTCGAACAAAGGGAGGCAGATAGTAAGAGCGGCAGCAAAGGTCTGAGAGCAGCAGAAGGAGAAAGCAGTTTGACTGTAAAATGGCGCGAACTGTGCATTTATACTGGCTGTTGCATAACATGCCAGAATGTTCTCGAAAGTATTTGTCTAGGGGGAAGATCCAGAAATTGCGAAAAGTTAATTAGAGGCTGCCTGTTCGCGTAGAGCAAAGCCATCGTATTTTTTATATTTTACATATATATAATTTATTACATATTATTTTATGTAATAAATATGTTAATATTATTTTCTTCATTTTCCGCAAAATACTATTATTTTTCTCGATAGCACCGTAAAAAATTCGTTTCTTTTCTGAACAATAATAGATAAAAAAAATGCTTCCAGCAGTTATAACCTGCATATTTCATATCCTTGATTTAAGTATCTCAATGGCCGGGATCCATTATTACGATGTTACTGATTTTGGTGAATATAAATCGCAAGAATGGAATTTGATTAGTTATTCTAGCATTATAAAAGTGAACGTAAATACTGATTTACACATTTCATGTAGCGGTTGAGCGGCAAAACAGCTGAGTACTGGTAGTTCAATCTGCTTTCAAATTCTGGCGAAAGAGCTGGTTGCACGGGATATTTCATGATTTTCCGCGTATATAACATGAGATATTTCCCTTGAAATAGCTTCCACGAAGGCAGAAAAACCTCGTGTGTTTTGCCATAATCTAAATAATCAATACGATTCCCCATTATGGTCAAAAACTCTTGAGATAATTTACACTGTCGATGTGTCCGTAAATTCATGGTGCACTTTTGACCGGTGACTGGGAATCAAGGAAACAAGATAAAAATGGGAAATGTTCACCAAATAAAGGAAAACCTCTCCAAGTTTCACACTTGTTCAATTTAGTTCGATGCGGACTCCATTTGTTGCCCTATACACATCTAAACGATATTCAAGTTCTTCCCCCCCCCCACGGTTTAAGATGTCTGGTGCAGCACAGTAATTAACGTCTGTGATTCTCTGTTTTAAATGATTAATGCTGTTGATACATTCAATGTACACATATTGCTTTACGTATCCCGCAAATAAAAGTCTAATGGCTGATCCGCTGCTGGGCAGTTCGTGGTGTTGCGTCATCACCTGTGTGCGCATATCCTTGCGCATCATAGTACGAAAACTTAGAGAGTTTTCCTTTTATTTGGTGAAGATTTCACATTTCTATCTTGTTTTGTTGCTATCCTGTAATTGGTCAAAAGTACACCAAGACTTTATAGACCCACTGTATATGCCAATTTTTAATACTCATCTCGTAGAAACATTAGGTATTTTTTTTTTGGAAGCAGGAGATGTGAAATGAGCAACGCCTTCGCCGGGAATCGAACCACGGACCTATGGAATACGCGCCCAGCATGCACACTACTACACCACGAAGGCAAGCTGAGAAAGCGGGAGAAATACCTTATAATTTTATTATTTAATATATTTCAATTAATACTGAATATACTGTTAATGTATTTGAAGCCATTATTCTTAAAGCTTGCGAATAAAAATGCAACTTAGGACAAAAAGAAAAGGTAAATACTTACAAGAATGATGCAGTTAGCACCGAAAAGAGTATATCTCACTATTTTCGCTAATGTTCCCATTCTTGATAACTGAATAAAAAAAAAAAAACACATCAATTTAGACTCAATGTCACTTGAGCATATGAACAGAGAGTGACTTTCGAATTTGTGTCAGCAGCTCTTCGTGTAATGCTTTTCTTTGCTTTAACAAATAATTAAGTACGGTTGCTACTGACAAAAAGAATTTTCTCAGTTAATTATTGATCAGATATTTAAAAGCATACGTAACACGTGATATTTCTTTATGAAATTGTTATAATATTTTTTATCATACTTGTCTTCACTTCCGTTAGATACAAATTTGTCTAGGTTCTAGTGAATTAGGTTTTTTGATTACTTTTTATCCATTAAAGAAGTACCTGTTTCATTTCTCTAGTACCCTTGACGCACGTGTTTATTAAATGAATTTGCACACATAAAAAAAGATGTAACATTACGTTCAAAACGACATGACCATTTTACTACGCTTTCCCTTAGCCTTTTATATAATTCTAAAATGCGTATAATTTAGTATTCCTTGTACGGAATACTAAATTATACGCATTTTTTCTTGCATTTCATTTAAACTTATTAGATTGAATTAAACCTACTTCGTCGACACCGCATAAACCACAATAGAATAAATGCATTCTTTAAAATTCACTTTGTTTACCATAGCGACATTCTGGTGCTAGGTTCACTTAACAGTATTATATTTCGTTCATATTATAACTCAGAATGCACAAAATTTATATCATTTAAAGAATTATCTAATCGTTGCCACATGTTCTATTCAAATATTATATAAAGCTAGAACGATGTATAAAAGAAATTAAGAAACAACAAAAAAAAATAAACAGTTTTTCACAGACGATTGAGTATTTCTCATTCAATTAATTCAGTTCTCACTTCGCGACAAGGCAAAAATAAATAAAAAACTCAAAATATCTGTATTAAAAATTATGAAGTAAATCTTAAACACTTATTTCCTCGAAAAAATTCCAGAAAGGATTAAGCATGATTTAATAATAATAATGAAGGCATTATATTTGTTGTTGAGAAGCTAAGTTTCTCTAGATTGGCAACAAATCCGCTATCCTGCTGTTTCAAATGTAAACAAGAACAATGGCCGCCATCAAAAACATTATTAGGCTTAGCGGCACTTAAAGAACTTTAAAATTGTTGATAAATCTAAAAATATTGCATACAGATTTACTAAAGGTATAAAAACCTTAACCGGAAGATAAGAACAACATAATTTAAGATAACATAACGGAATAATAAGAACAACATAACGGCTTTATTTTGAACTGGCGAAAAACGTTTGTTTGTTTTTACTTATAACTGATAGGTACTGTTTTGGGTTCTTATGTATTAGTGCAATAACTTTGACGCACGTTTGAGAATTTTAGAGGGGAAAACAATGAGGAATTCTTGTTGTAAAAAATCATTTATTAACTACACATTTTACATTATTACGTATCTATTTTACATTTAACACACACACACACATATATACAGTGGCTCCCAAAAGTATTCGTACACTTATGATTTTCATTGAAATAGGGCTCTATCCATTGATTAAAAGTAAACATTTTGAATGAGATTTGAATAATAAGATCTACAATCTATTCGTAACAAAATTACATAAAATATTTTTAAAACATAGCGAAATTTTATTTTTAAGAAATTAATAATAAAAAATGACAAACATTTTATCTCACAAAAGTCTTCGTACGCTTCAAAAAAATCTGACATATTAGTAAATATTTTCATTTTTCGTTAAATAATATTTAGTAAGAATATCTTTAGCATCCACAACAGCTTTTAGACGTCTGAAACTGGATTTTACTAATTTTATTTATTTATTTATTTATTTATTTTATATATTTTTTTGTAATTTCTGTATCAATGTTCATCCATTGTTCCATCATGACTGTTTTTAGTTTACTTTTCGTTTTGATGTCGTGTTTTCGTACTTTAACCTCAAGCTCACTTCCAAATTTGTTCTATAGGGTTTAAATCTGGCGTCTGGGGTGGTGTTCTAAAAAACCTGTCGACAATTATAGACCCACCACAGGCGAACTTTGAGAGCCGTATGCTTAGAATCCTTATCATGATTAAAAATAAAGTTCTTTCCAATACCCAAATTTTGGGCAGATAATTTTAAATTGTCTCTTAAAATATTTAAATAAAAAGCATGATTCATTATGCCATCAATAAATACCAAATTACCTAGTCCTGATATGCTAATTACCTAGGAAGAACACCTCCGCCATGCTTAACTGTTCCAACTAAGTTCTTAGAATGAAGTTCCTCATTTTTTCTTCTCCATACAGTTATTCGACCATCGGAACTAAAAATGTTAAATTTGCTTTCGTCAGCAAATAGGACATTTTTCCAATACGTTTCGGGTGTTATTATCATTGATTTTGGGAACGAAAGCATAAGCTTTCTATTTTCCCCACTAACAAAAATTTTTTACGGGCAGATTCTCGGTCGACCTTTTCTTACCTTGTTTTCCATCCGATTTTCTTCTTGAAAGCGTTTTATCACATACTGCACTGTAGACTGGGATAAATAAGCTAATTTAGCGATATTTCGAATGGATTTACCACTATTATGGTAAAAAATTATCAATTTTCAAATGCTGTTCGTAATTTCTTTACGACTGCGACCCATTTTTCAATAAATAAAATATTATGAAGTAAACAATAAAAAATTAAAGCAAATGACTTTTTAAATGCCACCACAATGCAAAAACTAAAAAAAGCGGCAAACGGTAATTCTAATTTTGATTTTATCCAAAAATATTTCAGTGTACGAGACTTTTGTGAGATAAAATGTTTGTCATTTTTTGATTATTAAAATTTTTAAAAATAAAGTTTCGCTATATTTAAAAAATATTTCATGTAATTTTGTTACGAATAGATTATACATCTTATTATTAAAATCTCATTCAGAAAGTTTACTTTTAATTAATGGATAGAGCCCTATTTTAATGAAAATCATAAGTGTACGAACACTTTTGTGAGCCGCTGTATATATTATTATATACACGCATTCATTCCAAAACAGGATACTATTCCAAAAGTAAATTGGCGCCAAACTATTTTGGCCTTAAAAATTTGGCGAATTTTTTTTTTCTTTTTTTTGGGTGGCAATGATAGCACTAAGATGTGATTTTTAAACGTAAAGCAGAATAGTAACTTTTAAGTTTTGCAGTAGTGAAACACCGTTATTTTATGTAAATGGAATAGTAAAATGAGATTATAAAATACTGGATGAGTAAAACAAAGTCGAACAGCTTTGCAAGTAAAAACATAGTCCTATCTATGTAATTCATCATAAAATAGAACGAACAATTTTTGTAA